CTCCTGAAACTGATAAAACAACTTCAGCAAAGTCTCAGGATACAAAATCAATGTGCAGAAATCACATGCATTCCTATACACCAATAACAAACAGAGAGCCAAATCAAGAGCCAACTCCCATTCACAATTGCTACAAAGAGAATAAAATACGTAGGAATACAACTAACAAAGGATATAAAGGACCTCTTCAAGGAGAACTACAAACCACTGCTCAAGGAAATAGGAGGGACACAAACAGATGGAAAAACCTTCCATGCTCATGGTTAGGAAGAGTATTGTGAAAATGGCCATACTACCCAAAGTAATTTACAGATTCAACGTTATCCCCATGAAGCTATCAATGATCTTCTTCACAGGACTTGAAAAAAACCACTTTAAACTTCATATGGAACCAAGAGAGCCCACAGAGCCAAGACAATCCTAAGCAAAAAGAACAAAGCTGGAGGCATAACGCTGCCTGACTTCAAAATATAATATAAGGCTACAGTAATCAAAACAGCATGGCTCTGGTACCAAAACAGGGGCATAGACCAGTGGAATAGAACAGAGGCCTCGGAAGCAAAACCACACATCTACAACCATGTGATCTTTGACAAAAACAAGCAATGGGGAAAGGATTCCTGTTTAATAAATGGTATTGGGAAAATTGGCTAACAATGTACAGAAAGCAGAAACTGGACTCCTTCCTGACACCTTACACTAAAATTAATTCCAGATGGACTAAAGATTCAAACGTAAGACCTAACACCATAAAAACCCTAGAAAACCTAGGCAAAACCATTCAAGACACAGGCATAGGGAAGGACTTCATGAATAAAACACCAAAAGCAATGGCAACAAAAGCCAAAATAGACAAATGGGACCTAAATAAACTTCAGAGCTTCTGTACAGCAAAAGAAACAATCATTAGAGTCAACTGGCAACCAACAGAATGGGAAAATATTTTTGCAATCTACCCATCCAACAAAGGGCTAATATCCAGAATCTATAAAGAACTAAAACAGATTTTCAAGAAAAAAATACAAACCCATCCAAAAGTGGGTGAACAATATGAACAGACACTTTTCAAAAGAGGACATATAGGAGGCCAACAAACATACGAAAAAATGCTCATCATCACTGGTCATTAAAGAAATGCAAATCAAAACCACATGGAGATACCATCTCACACCAATTAGAATGGCTATCCTTTAAAAACCTGGAGACAACAGATGCTGGAGAGGATGTGGAGAAATAGGAACACTTTTATACTGTTGGTGGGAGTGTAAATTAGTTCAACCATTGTGGAAGACAGTGTGTGGCAATTCCTCAAGGATCTAGAAATAGAAATTTCATTTGACCCAGCCATCCCATTATTGGGTATATACCCAAAGGATTATAAAGCGATCAGTTGTAAAGACACATGCACACCTATGTTCACTGCGGCACTGACTTGACCACATAGCAAAAACCAGGAACCAACCCAAATGCCCACCAATGATAGACTGGACAAAGAAAATGTGGCACATATACAGCATGGAATACTATACAGTCAGAAAAAATGAGTTCGTGTCCTTTGTAGGGACATGAATGAATCTGGAAACCATCATTCTCAGCAAAACTGACACAAGAACAGAAAATCAAACATTGCATGTTCTCACTCACAGGCAGGTGTTGAACAATGAGAACATGTGGACACAGGTAGGGGAGCGTCACACACTGGGGTCTGTTGGGGGAGCTAGGGGAGGGACAGTGCGGGGTGAGGAAGGTGGGGAGGGATAATGTGGGGAGAAATGCCAGGTATAGGTGATGGGGGGATGGAGGTAGCAAACCACCTTGCCATGTATGTACCTATGCAACAATCCTGCATGATCTGCACATGTACCCCAGAACCTAAAGTACAATTTAAAAAAATGAAATAGAGCCAGTGTGAGAAACAGGAAAATCAAATTCTGTACTTTCCTAGTCTATGAAACACCAGTCAAAAGGTAAAAGTGCTTCCTCTGGCTGGGTATTGTGGCTCATGTGTGTAATCCCAGCACTTTGGAAGGCTAATGTGGGTGGATCATAAAGTCAGGAGTTCAAGACCAGCCTGGGAAAGATGGTGAAACCCCATCTACACTAAAAATATAAAAATTAGCTGGGCGTGGTGGCAGGCGCCTGTAATCCCAACTAATCAGGAGGCTGAGGCAGGAGAATCGCTTGAACCTGTTAGACAGGGGTTACAGTGAGCTGAGATCTCGCCATTGGACTCCAGCCTGGGCAACAGAGCAAGTCTCTGACTCAAAAAAAAAAAAAAGTGCTGCTTCTATCAATATCCTGATTCTTCCACTGAAATGTCACCTCGTTAAGCACATCTTGTACTTGTGTGATATGAAAACAAGGCTTTGCCTAAAGACCAGAGTATGCAAGGGAGCACCTCTGGGATGATCTTGTGGCACTCAGCACTCAAGCAAGGTGGTAATGTAAGTCAGTCTCGATAGAAGTAAATTTTCCAGGCCCACTTAACAATAGGGACACAGAAAAGTGGTCCAAGGAACACTCTTCATGCTATTGTACTTAATAGTAATTTTCTTAGTTTCCTATAATTAGGTATGTACATATGAGCTAGTAGCAGCCACTGTCCTACAATCTAACTAGTTCATGCCCAACTCAATGCCTGCATCAGGGCTATTGCAGTGTCATCGAAACTCTTCTCCTCTCTCTGGTAAAGATTATCTAGAGACACCCATGAATTTTAATATCTATATCCTGTACTGGTTTGAACAGTGTCCCCCAAACTCATGTCCACCCAGAACCTCAGAATGTAATTTTATTTGAAAATAGCGTCTTGGAAGATATAATCAAGTTAAGATAAGATCATCCTGAATTAAGGGTGGACCCTTAATTCAATGACTAGCTTCCTTGTAAAGAGGGCAACTTGGATGCAGAGAGACACACCCATAGACAATGTGATGTGATGATGGAGGGAGAGATTGGAGTGATGAGTCTACAAGCCAAAGAATGCCGAAGATTGCCGGCAAACACCAAAAGCTAGGAGAGACGCATGAAACAGATGTTCCCTGAGACCTTCCAAGAGGAACCAACCTGCCTGACACTTTGATTTCAGACTTCTGGCCTCCAGAATTTTGACAGAATATGTTTCTGTTGTCTTAAACCACCTAGTTTTGGTAGCTTGTTAAAGCAGCCCTAGGAAATGAATGCATACCACCACTACTCCACAGTACATCTATTTTCCTTCCATGTGCCTGGCTTTTTTTTAATCTTCTCAGAGAATAGCTATAAACCCTAGTTACTGTATCAACACATGGGATGGGGCACTGGGCAGAACAGCATGAGAATGAACAATTAGTATCAGATCAGCAACTTCACAGGTAAGGTAAAGGGCATGGGAATTTACTTCTGAAAGTTCTATAATACAAGACTCTTTAAACCCTGCGGCGTTTTTATATACATCTACAAATTCTGTGATACGCTTTCTTTGAAAAGGCAGAGCCAAATTCCCCTCTCTTTGAGTGTAGTCAGTGCTTGATGACTGACTTCTAATAAACAGAAGTGATAGATGTGACTTTTGAAATTAAGTCATTAAAAACACTGTAGCTTTCTCCCTGTTCTTGCTCTTAAATCACTTGCTCTGGTGGATGCCATGCCATGAAGACACTTTAAGGAGATAAATGTGATGGGAAACACACCTTCTGTCTCAGGCACATGAGTGAGCCACCTTGGAAGAGGATCCTTCAGCCCTGCTCACGCTTTCAGAACTGCAGCCCCAGCTTGTATCAACTGGAACCACATTAGACCCTGAGCCAGAGCCACTCAGCTATGCCATTTCCAGATTCCTAACCACGTAAACTGTGAGACAATACAAGTTTATTGTTTTCAACCATTAATCTTTGGAGTAAAACAGGGTAAGAGATAGAACCTTAAACATAGTCTTGAAGTCCTAATAAGTACTCTTCCTTCCTACAAGATACCCGCTATGTGATTTCTGCCATGTCTCTAACATACCTCTGGAACAAGAGCAATTCCAAACCCCTTAATCCAAGTTAGTGCATAGAATTCACAGGACCTCTGCCTTTGTCCTCCTTCAGCTCAGAGACTGATGTTCACATCATGAATGTGCTAAGAAAGGCAGAATCACGAGTGGAATCCAGTATCAGTAGCTGGGAGCAAAGAACACTTGCCATAAAGGTCTTTGGGTTTTTCACTGTGAGACTTTCACTTGTGAAAAAAATTAAAATAGGAAAGAAAATTTAATCATTTAAAACAAACATTGAGTATATTCTGTGGCAAGCATAGTACCAGACAGCAGGCATAAAAACGGTCCCTGCTTAGAAATTCACAGGAATCACAAACAGGTTTTGTAACAGAAGCTATTGCTGTACAATCATTTATATTCCCTTAGACCAAGATCTGGCTACAGAATTTGTGAATCCCAGTGCAAAACAAAAATGTAAGGTCCCAAGGGCCAGGCGCCATGGCTCAAGTCTATAATCCCAGCACTTTGGGAGGCCGAGGTGGGCAGATGATAAGGTCAGAAGTTCGAGACCAGCCTGACCAACATGGTGAAACCCCATCTCTACTAAAAATACAAAAATTAGCCAGGCGTGGTGGTGCACACCTGTAATCTCAGCTACTCAGGAGGCTGAAGCAGGAGAATCACTTGAACCCAGGAGGCAGAGGTTGCAGTGAGCCGAGATCATAACACTGCACTCCAGCCTGGGCAACAGAGCAAGACTCTGCCTCAAGAAAAAAAGAAAAAAAAAAAAAGAAAAAAAAAAAGGTGGGGTCCCTTGTTCAAGAATTTCAAGAGGATAGTAGCAAATCAGTAAACCAACTGCATAGGTATATGCCCATGAAGCTACATCTGCTCTTTCAGTAACCTTTTTTCTGGCTGATTGGGATGCTTAATTTACACCAAGGAGAAGCTTAGTATTACTGAAAGCACCACTCAACCAACGGAAAAACGGCAGTCGACAGACATAAATGCTAACTGAGGGCTACTCTAGTATTGAGTTTTCCAGTGGGATTGAGATGCAAGTGTCCACAGTGGTAACTGGGAGATTTCTTAAGATCACCTCTAAAATAAACAATGCATACTCACATTCTTATCTCAGTCTACCTCTTGGTAAACCCAAACCATGATATGTTTCATCTTTCAAACCATCTCTAACTTGGAATACTGTACAATGGAAAAATCTAAAGCTGTATCTCATTCAACAGGAATGAATGTAGTATAGTAATATTAACTCTCACTATGGCAAAGAAAGTGATGGCTCTTCAAATCTGAATGATGAAAGACCTTGTGTTCGGACTTGAGACAAAAAGCTGTTATGAAGGCTGTTAAGCAGCAGTTACAGGGTCTTATTTATTTTAGAGCTACTTCTTCCCATAATGTACAACTGGATTAAAGGGTGGCAAGAATGAAGGTAGGAAAACCAATCAGGAAGAGAGAAACTCGCAACTGGTAAATAGGACAGAATATCTGCCAGGATGACTAACCACATCATTGACCAAAATAGAGAAAGCAAACTAAGTTGTCAAGAATAAATCAATCTGTGTTGCATAAGCGGCCACAAGTACTGGGAGCACCTACCCATTGAGCCCTGAATTTAACTAACAAGGAGTGGGAAATGAAGAGGACCAAAAGACCAATGTTGAGCACTCACTGGGAACTGATGGGTCTTTTTGATACTAAGACCAAATTAGGAACACAAAGCACTGACAATGCTGCCCATCCGACCACTGATCTTCACCAAGGAGTACTGAGGAAACTCAAAAGAAGAACCTGTATCCTAAAGATGATATCACAATCTCAGACCAACAACCAGTAACAAGACTGGATCAGCAATAGAAATGTTCAATCAAAGAAAAACCTGAGAGTTTCACAGATGAAGTCTACCAAACATTTGAGAAGAATTGGTATTAGTTCTTCTTTAAACTATTCTAAAAACTTGTAGAAGGAAGGAATCCTTTCGAACTCACTCCATAAGCCCAGTATACTCTGTTACCAAAATCAAACGAAGACAGAATTAAAAAAAGAAAACTACAAGCCAAAGCCTTGTCAATTTTATCTTTTCAAAAACCAACTGTTTTGTTGATCTTTTGTGGTTTTGTTTGTTTTTTGTTTTGTTTTTGTTTTGTTTTTTTGACTCTACTTCATTTATTTCTAGTCTGGCTTTTATTATTTCTTCGTTTCTACTAATTTGGGGCACATTCTAGTTTTTTTTTTTAGTTCCTTGAGGTGAAATATTAAATTTTTTGAGATCTATTTTTTTATGTAGGCATTTTATTGCTATCAACTTCCCTCTGAGGACCGTTTTTGCCATACCCCGTAGGTTTTGCTATGTTGAGTTTTCATTTTTATTTGTCTCAGGAAATTTTTATTTTTCTAATATCCTCATTGACCCATTGGTTCAGCAGCACTGCCCAACGTGTTCTCCTTGCCCACTGCCCAGAAAGAGCCAATTATCAAAACAGGGGAATTGCAATAAAGGAGAGTTTAACGTATACAGAACTGGCTGAATGGGAAACTTAAGTTTTTTTTTTTTTTTTTTTTTAGAAAAGAGGGCTTTTACAATGTTGATGAACTCATCTTAGAGTGCATGATTTATAAATACATAAATAGTCATGCATACTTTTACAGTGATAACTACTGGAAGAATGAGAATGTTAAAAAAGCCAATCTAGACAGAGTCCTTCTCATTCCACCTCCCTCTTTATGTTGGTAATACCAGGAGTCTTTAGAGAGCTGCTGTGGTCTATGTCACGTTCATCCCAGCCTCCTTTCTAATCCTGTAGCTGATGATGGAAATGTGATAAATCTTCTGGCTTAGCTTTGATGCTTTTTCATTAATTCACTTCTGGTAGTAAATTGTGGAAGGTCTTCCACTTCAATCCCATCAGCCATTTCCATCACCTTGTCTAAAAGGTCTTTATTGTAACTGCAGCCCAGGAAGAGGTGGTTGGCCCAAACCATGGAGAGAGACAGCAGCTGGTCCAGGCGGCCACCGCCATCAGGCGGGTCGCGGTAGTCGGGCAGGTGGCGCAGGATGAATTCCATGCGGGCCTTTCATTGCTTCTCGCTCTCTAAGTAGGAGCGGAACTGCTCCGCGAAGTCGGCTGCCTGCCGCACCCCCGAGACCAGCTCCTCCACTGCAGCGGCCGCCTCGCCACCGACCATGGTGCCAGCCGCAGCCGAGGCCCGGATAGCCCGCCGCCTTCCCGACGAGCACTCGAAACTGAAGTTTTATTACTCAAATCAGTCTCCCTGAAATTTGGAGACTGGGATTTTTAAAGGCTAATTTGGCCAGTAGGGTGCTAGAGAGTGGGGAATGCTGATTGGTTCAGCTGGAGATGAAATCATAGTGGGGAGGAGTTGAAGCAGGTTTTTCTTGCTTTCTTCTGTTCCTGAGTGCCATTGCAGAACTAATTGATCCAGATTACCAGTCTGGGTGGCACCAGCCGGCCCATCAGAATGCAGGGTCTGAAAAATATCTTGAATGCCAAATATCTCAAACACTTTTACAATAGTGATGTTATGCATAGGAGCAATTGGGGAGGTTAGGAATCTTGTAGCCTCTGAGTTCACACCTCTTAAATCATAATTTCCAATCTTGTGGCCAATTTGTTAGTTTTACAAAGGCAGTCTAGTCCCCAGGCAAGAAGGGGTTTTGTTTTGGGAAAGGGATGTTATCTTTGTTTCAAAGTTAAACTATAAACTTCCTTTTTTTTTTTTTTTTTTTTGAGATGGAGTCTCACTCTGTCACCCAGGCTGGAGGTACAGTGGTACAATCTCAGCTCACTGCAACCTCCGCCACCCAGGTTCAAGCAATTCTCCTGCCTCAGCCTCCCTAGTAGCTGGGGTTACAGGCATACCCCACTATGCCCAGTTAATTTTTGTATTTTAGTAGAGACAAGGTTTCACCATCTTGGCCAGGCTGCTCTTGAACTCCTGACCTCGTGATCTACAAGCCTCGGCCTCTCAAAGTGCTGGGATTACAGCCGTGAGCCACCGCACCCGGCCTAAATTAACTTCTTCCTATAGTTAGCTCAGTATAGGAACACTCAGAATTGAACAAGGGCAATTTGGGATGTTCAAGGCAAGATGCAGTTTCTTAGGTCAGATCTCTTTCACTGTCATAATTTTCTAACTGTTATAATTTTTGGAAAGGTTGTTTCAGCTTTACTGTCTCCATATCCATCCCTAAGCTCTATGCAGTTTAGTTTTGCCTGTTTTTCTATCTTTATGTACAAATGAATCATGTGTTGAATGCCTTTGTATGTCTGGTTTGTTTTGCTAACACTTCCTACTTACCTGTTACTGCACGTCGCTGTAGTTCATTTGTTTTCATTTCTTTGTAGTATTCCACCTTATCAATGTGCCACAATTTATTTATGGTGTTGATAAATTCTGAGGTTCTTTGCCAGTTTTTGGTTGTTGTGAATATTTAAGTATGTATCTTAAATGTTTCTGCTTACAGTTGTGAGTAATTCTAGGAGTGGAACTGCTAGATGATTGGTTAAGCTTGTTTAATTTTAATACATAATTTCACATCATTTCCCAGAGAGGTTTTATCACCTCACAGCAGCTCCACCAAGCAGTGCAGAGTCCCCATTGCTTCACATTCTCTCAGTACTTGATATTTTCAGACTTTTGAATTTTAGCCATTTTTACTGAATATTTTCCACGATTACAAATGAGATAGTATATATTGTCCTATGTTTATAGGCCATTTGGTATTCTCTATTTGAAATATCTGTTCTGCCCACATTTTTCCATTGAGTCATCAACCTTATACTTCTGAAGGAGTTTTCTGTTTATTTTTTAGAAAGAAATGACATTCATTTCTGACAGTCCCAGAGGCTGGGAAGTCCAAGGTCAAGGGGATGCATCTGGTGGGAGCCTCCTTACTCATGGGGACTCTGGATGGGAAAAATGCTAACTCTACCCAAATTAAGTTATATACTTGATGCTTTTCCATTCAAACTCACAATAAGGGCTTTTATTCTTTCAGGGGAGGAGATGGTAAAAAATGATTTCAGAGTTTACCTGGAATATATACCACGAATAAGAACATTCAAGAAAAAGTACAAAAATTACAGTAAAGTGAGACCCTCTGAGGTTTCAGAAAATCAACTAAAGAAAATCTGTGATGCTGCTGTAAAAACAGAGATACAGATGAAAGGGTTAGAGAACAAAATAAAAAACTGGAAACATCTCACAATGAAAGAATTTAACATTTAATAAGTGTGGTCAATGAGTAAAAGATGATTACTTAATAAATGGAGCTCACACAAGGAACCATCCATCCAAAACAGTGCTGTTCAATACAGTAGCTAGTCAAAACCCTTGGCCTCTTCCTGAAGGTTCACTGAAAAGTCATCTCACAAAAGGCAAATTAATGAGAGAAAAAGCATACACATTTATTTAATGTGCATGCAAGGATGACAAAGTCTGATTACTCACCTCCCAACAGGGTTCAGAAGCTTATATACCACCCTGGCAAAACAGGTTATGGGAGTGGGGAGAAGAGGACTTCTGTGGAGAGCAATAAAGAATTACTAGGGAAAATGAATGGATCTGGGAACAGAGATTGACATGTAAATAGTTCTCTTTGACAGTGAAAGAGTCTGTTCAGGTGTGATTACATTCTGGGTCTTACAAGGGAGGGCAAGAAAAAAACAACAGTTCTCCTGGGTGGGTCCAGATCTTAGGCAGAAAAAGAAACTTTACCTTATTTGGGAGAGAAGGTAGAGGATGGGAAAGTCACAGAGAACTTAGGGCTACTTCAGTTCACTATGCCACAGCACCGTATTTTTGGGGTATTCTGAGCCCCACAATGGCCAGAAGCACTTAACCATGGACCTAGTGATATAAGCATAAAATATACACTAGATTCCAAAGACTTGGTATACAAAAGTACATATCTTATTTGTAATTGTTTAAAATTGATTACATGTTAAAATGGTAATATTTTAAATATAATGGGTTAGGTTGGTAAAATAAAATACATTATTAAAGTTATTTTACCTGTTTCTTATCATTTTTTGTGCAACTATGACTACAAAACCTAAAATTATATAAGCAGATTCCATTATATTTCTTCTTTAGGCGACAGTCTTGCTGTTGCCCAGGCTGGAGTACAGTCACATGATTTGGGCTCACTACAACCTCTGCCTCCTTAGTTCAAGCAATTCTCCTGCCTCCCAAGTAGCTGGAATTACAGGTGTGCGCCACCAGGCCTGGCTAATTTTTTTGTATTCTTAGTAGAGATGAGGTTTTACCATATTGGCCAGACTGGTCTCAAACCCCTGCCCTCCAGTGATCCACCCACCTTGGCCTCCCAAAGTGCTGGCATTACAGATGTGAGCCACTGCACCTGGCTCACTTCTATTATATTCCTATTGGACAGCACTGCTCTGGAGAAAAAGATTCTCCTTTTTTGTATGATATTTTTAAAAGTAAAGATTTAAATGTAAGGAATAAAAAATACTGTAAAAAAAAACCCAAGAAAGCAAATTAGAATCTGGAGGTCAGGATGGATTTCTTGAGGACAGGTAGGGGTGTGTGTGTTTGTGTTTGCACGCATGCACACAGGGATAGGACAAGCACACATGCATGTGTACATATGTACGTAGACCAATAAACAATCCAACAGGAAAAATGGGGAAAGGATAGAACTGAAAACAAATCTGAATAGCAAACAGTAACATAAATAATTTTGATTATTTTTAAAGGGAATTATTAAAGGGAAGAGAAATTATTAAAGGGAAGAGAAAACATAATTAAAAGTAACTAATTGGCTGGCAAAAAAATAAAAACAAAAATAATACCTATCTTTGCTAGGCATGTGGGAAGGGAGCAGGATCATACCTTGTTGTAAGAAAATGTAAAGATTAACAGCCTTCTGAGAAAGCAATATGGCAACATCCATTAGAAATATGCCATATCCTTCGACACAGAAACCTTTCTCACAGAAATAAACCCACTAGCACTTGACATGTGTTCAGAAAGTTGTTATTGTAATACTGTGTAGCAGGGAAAAAAAGGAAACTAAGTATCAATAGGAAACTAAGTGAATGCCTATCTACTCACAAAAGATTTTTAAAAATTGCCTGCAAAGCAAGATCCATTATGTAATTATCAAGAATTATACAAATTTTTAAAAATATGAAAATATCAGCAATGGCAGCACTATAGTAAAACAGACTACAGTAGTTCGTTCTTATTCTCGGAAGACATGTTCCAAGATCCCCAGTGGATGCCTGAAACCACCGATAGTACAGAACCCGATTGCTGTTAATAGGAACTTTTTTTGGTGATGTTTCCCACCCACAATTTTAATAACTTTTCTATCTTAACTAAGGGCTTAACATGAATTGTGGCTACAACTTTTCCATTTTGAAGTGTAACAGCAAAACTAGCAAAAGTTTTTTTCCTTTTTCATAATTTCAGGGATAGAAGATTTGTTCTGACCATAGATCTTAGCAAACTCAGCATTTAAAAAATTTCCTTATTAAGTCAAGAACTTTTACCTTTTCACTTAATAGAAGCACTTTACGGCTTCTCTTTGGTATATCCAAGTTGCCACCATTAGTACTCTTGCACGCCACTGTCATGTAAAATAAGGGTTCCATGAATATAAGTACTGTGATACTTAGGCAGTAGAACTGATAACCAAGAAGGCTATAGAGTGACTAATGGACAGGCTGCATATACAGTGTGGATACCAGGCAAAGGGATGATGCAAATCCTGGGGAGAGATGGAGTGGTACAGCAGGAGATTTCATCATGCTTATCAGAATGGTGCAGTGTCTTATTTAAAACTTCGGAATTATTTCTGAAATTTTCCACTTAAAATTTTCAGATTGTGGTTGCCAAGAGTAACTGAAACCTTGAGAAATGAAACCGAGGATAAGGGGAGGACTACTGTATTTCATTATATGCTGGTGTGGATAGAAATAGGCACAACCTTACTGAGGAGAGCAAAATCACCTGGTAACCACTGAACAGGCCCCGGAGACAAAAACTCCTTATCTGAGGAATTTCGATGGAAACAGAGACAACCTGGTGACCACCAAACAGGCAAAACTCCTTTTCTGGGAATTCAAAAGTAATTAAACTTTACTAGTATCTAAAGTCTGGTTCCAGGCCTCTTTCAACTTTTATAAGTAACTAAAATTTCTATATATCTCTGAAATGCCATGCCGAAACTCATTTTACAGCCCTAAGCTCCTGCTTTAAGGTCCATAAATACCCCTAAAGAAAAATCCACAGCAGCACACTCCGTCCTCTTGCTGAGGCGCCCCACTGCACTCTTCTGCAGCGTTCTGTAACCACCCAAGGGGTTCATCTTGGCTGCTGCCTAGACAGAGTCAATTCATTGAGACAGGGGGATTGTGAAAAACTAGAGAAAAACTAATTCACGCAGAACCTGCTGTGTGGATGACCAGAGTTTTATTACTCAAATCAGTCTCTCCAGCAGCATTGGGGAGCAGAGTTTTAAAAGGTAACTTGGTGGGTTGTGGGAAGCCAGTGGATCAGGAGTGCTGATTGGTTACAGACAAAATCATAGGGAGGCAAAACTGTCTTCCTGCACTGAGTCAGTTCCTGGGTGGGGGGCACAAGATCAGATGAGCCATTTTGGCGGCCAAGGTAAGTGGATAACCTGAGGTCAGGAGTTGGAGACCAGCCTGGCCAACACGGTGAATCCTGTCTCTACTAAAA